AAGGAAGGAAGGAAGGAAGGAAGGAAAATTAGACCATTGGTTTCTGACTTCCATTTTATTAATAAAAAAGCAATTATTACAACTTTGCCAAGTAATTACTCTTTTGTCATTTGGTTTGATTTTTCTTCCTCAAGCACTCACTCTCTCCCTTTAGTTATGTATCTGTTCAATCTTCTATCCTCAGAGATCATTTCTGTCCCCATCTTCACCTTGGTCACTCTCTATCCCCTTAACTTGTCTTTTCTTCAAAGAATTAAACACTAGCAAGGTGATATTACGTGTTTATTTGAGCCTTTATTGACTATCTCACTCACTAATACATAAGTTCCATACGGGCAGCAATTTATGGAACCCAACAGCAGTTCCATGTTGGGGTTTTTTCAACTTATAAAATGAGGTGGGGAAGTGAATGAATCAGATTACTGTCTCCTTCAGTGCTAGAAATATGATTCTTTTAAATTTGATTCTCTAGTATACTTGCACCACTAGCCTTTATAGCAAGCAAAAGCTTATAAGAGACTAGGTAACATTATCTTTTAAATGACTAAGAATAACAATGAATTTTAGTTAAATATTTCAGTCCTCTATGACTCCATGCTTTTACACTTTTAGCCAAAATAAAGCTGTACAGCAAAATATCATGATCATACAATGTAGACTGACACACCATATAAATTTATCATTTAAACTAGTCAGAGAAAAGGAGGTTGGGCAAATGAGTAAAGGGGTGTGGGAGACACAGACTTCCAGTTCTTCTAGTCACAGAATGAATAAGTTACAAGAATAAAAGGCACAGCATAAAGGATAGAGTCAATGATATTGTCACAGTGATGTAAGGAGTCAGATGGCAGCTACACTTGTGATGAACACAACATAATGCATAAACTTGTCAAATCACTGTATTATATTGTACACCTGAAACTAATGTAACATGTGTACTATACTCACATTTTTAAAAAATGTTTATTTATTCTTGAGAGAGAGAGAGAGAGAGAGAGAGAGAAAGAGACAGTGTGAGCAGGGGAGGGAGAGAGAGAGAGGGAGACAAAAGCTGAAGCAAGCTCCAGGCTCCGAGCTGTCAGCACAGAGCCTGACACAGGGTTTGAACTCACAAACCATGAGATCATGAACTGAGCTAAAGTCGGACGTTTAACTGGCTGAGCCTCCCAGGTGCCCCTATGCTCAAATTTTAATGAATGAATAAATAAATAACCAAACAAACCAACAAACTAGTCAGAGACTCTGCTTCAAATCTTAAGTTTTGATTTACTGTCATCAGAATAGTATTTTAATTATACATACTAAGCATTCAAAATATATGAAATAACTGCTTCACAACAGCTGCAGCATTAAACCTATGTGGTATTAACTGCTTTATCTCTGGAGCACTGTAGTTCACTTCAACCTAAGAAAAATCAACAATACACTGCCGACTATATATTTGTTAAACTGAAATAACTAATGATAATACAAATAACATATATGGTATCCATTAAACACTTCAAATTAATTAAACTAAAAGTACTGTATGTTAAACCCTAACAATGGAATTAGCTAAACAGTTAAAATAACTTTTATTACCTAGAGAATCCTGAAAGGTAAATATATCACTACTCCCATTTTATAGGTGAAGAAACTGAGATTTTTAAAATTAAAGAATTTGCTGCTGGTAAAGTCAGTATTAGAAGACCTAAGTCCAAAGTGTCTGAAATCAAGTCACATACTTAAATCAAAAAGCCATATAAAACAGCTGACTAGGTCCTCAGGTAGAAAAACCACATTTTGTTTCATAATGCTATTAACAGGTCTACAAATAGACAAAAGAAAACAAACAAAATCCAATCCTTAGTAAAAATCTCAAAATATGGCCAAAAAAATTAGTTCTAAACTGTATTAGAATTAGTAGGCTTAAATTCAAAATATAATGCAGAGAGAAACATTTTATGATAAAATATCCCCAACAACATCAATCATAAAATAAGGCTACTACTACTTACTAGGTGGCTTTTGCACTGCCTTGTACTGTTATAGTCAGAATAGGTATCCAAGTTCCTCTATATTCAAATGCTGGTAGCAAAGTAACACCTCCACCAATCCCCAACATTCCTGAGTTAGCTGGTGTTGAGACAGGGCCCCCTGAGTTATTATTTCCTATTAGATAAGGAGAAGAAAACAAAGATACCAATTTACTACTTAATTACAAATCAATGATATTAAAATATCTGTTCAATTAAAAAAAAAAAAATTTGTTCTAGGGGCACCTGGGTGGCTCAGTTAATTGAGCATCCAACTCTTGATTTTGGTTCAGTCATGATCCCAGGGTCATGGGATCAAACCTGGAATCAGGCTCCATGCTGAGTCTGGAGCCTACTTAAGATTCAGTCTCTCTCTCTCTCTCTCCTACTTAAGATTCAGTCTCTCTCTCTCTCTCTGTGCCACTCTCCCCAACTCCTGTTCTAAAAAAAATTTTTTTTAAATTTGTTCTACAGGAATGGATACTGCACAAATAAATGAAGTTTATCAATCCTGTTATGGCTATTAGAGAGTCTCTCTGTCTTCCCAGAACACCATTTCCTTTTTTATTTTTTAGAGAGAGAGAGCACGAGCAGGGAAGAGGGGCAGAGGGAGAAAGAGAGAGAATCTTAAGCTGGCTCCACACCCAGCATGGAGCTTACCACAGGCTCTCATGACCTGAGCTGAAATCAAGAGTCAGACACTTAACTGCCTAAGCAACCAGATAGATACCCCACCATTTCCCTTTTTATAAAAAAAAAAAAAAAAAAAAAAAAAAAAGTACTAATTAGTAAAATTACTGACAAACTTTACAATATACTTTCTGTTAGACCACTTTTCACCACAGGTGAAAATAATGAATTAAAAAAACCATTAATCAGAGAGTAAAAAGTAGGAAATAAAGAAGGCAAAGAGAAACTAGAAGTTGTACACTGATTTCCAAACAAGCTTAAATCAAGTTCACCCATTTCGTTAAAAGAAAGACTAACAGACCTCCTAAGATGGTGAACCAGACTCTTTATTTATTTATTTGTTTGTTTATTTATTTATTATTTTAATTTTTTAACGTTTTATTTTATTTATTTGTTTGTTTATTTATTTAAAATTTTTTAACGTTTATTTATTTTTGAGACAGAGAGAGACAGAGCATGAACAGGGGAGGGTCAGAGAGAGAGGGAGACACAGAATCCAAAACAGACTCCAGGCTCTGAGCTGTCAGCACAGAGCCCGACACGAGGCTCGAACTCACGGACCGCAAGATCATGACCTGAGCCGAAGTCAGTTGCTCAACTGACTGAGCCACCCAGGTGCCCCTCGGTTTATTTATTTTTGAGACAGGAAGAGACAGAGCATGAACAGGGAGGGTCAGAGAGAGGGAGACACAGAATCTGAAACAGGCTCCAGGCTGAGCTGTCAGCACAGAGCCTGAGGCGGGGCTCGAACTCACGGACCGCGAGATCATGACCTGAGCCGAAGTCGGCCACTTAACCGACTGAGCCACCCAGGCACGCCCAGACTCTTTTTAAAGAGAGGCACAAAATGAAGACTCTTTTAAAATGAAGGTAAACATCTAAAGTCTTATTCTTATGTGATTAGAGAAACTGAAAGTATACCAGAGAAAGAAACATATTCTGGAAAGAAAGAAACACAGGGCTCCTGAATGGCTCAGCCAGTTAAGTGTCCAACTCTTGATTTTGGCTTAAGTAATGATCTCACGGTTTGTGGAATCAAACCCCAAGTTGGGCTCTGGGTTGACAGCATGGAGTGTGCCTGGGATTCTCTCTCTCCCTCTCTGCCCCTCCCCTGTTGATGCACATGCTCGTTCTCTCTCTCTCTCTCTCTCTCTCTCTCTCTCTCTCTCTCTCTCTCAAATAAATAAACATTAAACAAAAAGAAAGAAAGAAATACGGGTGCATGGGTGGCTCAGTCGGTTAAGCATCGACTCTTGGTTTTGGCTCTGGGTGTGATCTCTGGTTCATGACTTTAAGCCCCATGCTGGGTTCTGTGCTGATGAGGCACAGCCTGATTCTGACTCTCTCTATCCCCCACCCCCCAAAATAAATGAATAAGCTTAAAAAAAAGAAAAAAGAAAGAAAGAAACACAATTGCCTCAATAAGACTGAATATTCCTTTTTTTTTTAAACTTTTTTTAATGTTTATTTTATTTTTGAGAGAGACAGAGCATGAGTGGGAGAGGGTTAGAGAGAGACACAGAATCCCAAGCAGGTTCCAGGCTCTCAACTGTCAGCACACAGCCCAATGCAGGGCTCAAACCCACAAACCATGAGATCATGACCTGAGCCAAAGTTGGGCACTTAACCAACTGAGCCACCCAGGTGCCCCGAGATTGAATATTCTTTAAGTGAAAGTCTTTACTATCAACACATTTAGGTAATTCAAATTTCTCTATTCACAAAATTTCTATGAAATACCCTCTCAGAATAGTGCATATTGTAAATCGTGGCAGAATATAAAAAACAAAATATGAATTAGCCTTTACCAGCTTGGTTTGTTGTAGCAGGATTTCCAGTAGGAGGGACAAGAAACAATGACTGGATAAAAGATCCCAGGGCATTTACAATATCACGAAAAACCTTGGTAGAATGCTGTTTCATATCATAGGACTGACAAAATGACCTGTAAAATAATTTTTAAATAAAATAAAATAAAATGTTTAATAAAATGTTTCTAGGAAAAATATTTGAATATATTAACATTTTTTAATAGCAAGTAATTTTGATTTGTCAGTCTGAATGCTATACTTAAAACTTCATCACACCTGAGTTATTCTACTAAGTTAGTACAAAGGTTGAGACTGAGGTCAATGTTCCAAAAAAATTTTTCTTGGCTGTATTAACCAGTAATTTGGACGGATGGCAATTACTACCCATGTTTTTTGCCCACTTCTCAGTTGTTTTCCACACTCACACCCCTACCCCTCTATATACATACAATACACAGTTTTCTTTGTTTAGAAATCACTAACGTTTGGGAATACTTAAAAGTCTTCCTACTAGCACAAACATTAACCTATTTAACTAAATACTGCTGAGGTTCTACCTTAATAGCTGAGGCTGCACACAGAGTCTGTGTATAGATTCTACTGCAACAGCTCGTAGCCACTGTGGTTTATCTGCATCCAGAAATTTCACCAGAAGTGACAGAAATATCTCACATTCAGTTACCTAAAAAGTATAAGATTTTTTAATAATATTTCTTTAAATCTAAGATAAGAATTTATAAAATACACTCTTGTTCTTAGTTTATGGAAAAATCAATAAAATCTTCTAACTTTAAATAAATTACAATTCTTAATGGGGAGTAGAGAAAAGGAAGGGAAGAGCAGTTATATAAGGGAAAAGCTAACAGTAAAAATAATCAGTCTCTCTCTAAATACATCTCTGAAAACACACACTAGTCATCTGCTCACATGGTCAATCTTTTATCCTCATTCTTTAGAAAGCACTATGCACCATCACACCATCCTCACTGCTGCCAGGTAGCACACATATCATGTAAACTGCTGGTAGGATGTATATTCTACTCTTTAATAATACCACAAGCTTTTCCATACGTTCTTGTGCTGCTTAAACAAAGAGGCAATAAACGTAAGCATGTTTAGTGTATATTTTCTAGGGAAAAACAAAAAGGAATCCATAGCAGTTAGCAAGTATAAGATATAAAGTACTTAGAATGAGGCCTGGTACATAGTTTCCCTTTCTTTATAAATATCCGTTATCATTACTGTTAATATAAATCATCTCTTCTGCAAGCTCTTTGTAAATAAAAATGTTTAGAGCACATTCTCAACATTACACACTAAATGTGTGGTAGATGAATAAATGAACAAAAAAAAGTAACCAGTTTTTTCAAAAGTTAATAGATTACTTCTTAATGTTACACATTAACTGAGGGCACAGCAGGATCCTTGTGAGGTAAGAACCTGACATTGTGGTTAGTAGGCCAAACTGAAGTCTCCCTTTATACCAAGTGCAGCACATTACTGGATGAGTTAGCTGGGGGTACCCTGAAATGAGTAAGCATCATGTGGGGTAAGAAATTTCAGAAATATAGCAGTCATCAGGATGTTAGCCCAAAGTCTTAGCAGCTGGTATCTTCTAATGTCTTACAGTACTGTTAACTGGATGCTTAAAACTAGGACATAATCATGAAGATAAAGCAGGAGGGATAATTAAAAACTTGGTTCTTGGATTGCTATGATTGGGGAAGTCCTAAAACAGAGGCTTATCACTGTCCTAAACATGATACTGTTAAAAAGCATTAGATGAGAAATCAGATGGGCTCAGCTTTATCCAACAGAGTGGATGACAAGTTACATAACCTTATAAATAAAGGATAAAAGCATCTCATCTTCCGGAGAAGTCAAATGAGAAAATTGTAAAAATAAAAACGTCTCGTAAATATGATAAAGTGCCATGCAAATACGGAGCACATTTTTTCCTAAACAAATGATCCCTTTTAGTAAAGAACTGATAAAGAATCATGCTGGTGACTCACTATGCAAGTTGTTATCTACAACAGAGTTTTAACATTAGTGGGTCCTCCAAACGCGCACTACCTCTTTTAGAATAAAAGTGAAATATAAATGTGGTAGTACAATTGAAGGCTCATAAGCCAGGTTTTGAGGCCAGAAAACAAAGGCTCTCAAAAACATTATATCACAGCCAAAAGAAATATTATTATAAAACTTGCCTTGAAGAGTATATCAGTTCCTCTCCTGTAAGAGGACTACAGCACATTCTGTCAGCTGAAAAATCATGTATGAATAGTACTATGTACATAACAATACCTAGAGACCTGTATTATTTTAGTACTTATTTCATAAAAATTACTATCTGAATATATCGTAACATACAAAAATTCAAAGGCTTTAAGGAATATATTGTAACATACAAAAGATACAAAAATTCAAAGGCTTTAATTTGTAATCTTAAAAAAAAAAAAGCAAATCAAACAACTTATACTACAGCCACTACAACCTTGTAATTTGGGTAAATGAGAGCCTCTCTCCTGAGGTCTGGAACTTTGGTCTCCTTTCCTTCCTCCTTGCCAAGTGTGAAAGTCTGATCAGAGAACTAGTGTTGAGGTCACTGCATTGTTCTCAAGGACATCAATGGAGAGCTCCTGCTGTGAATTTATTAAGCCTTTTTCCCAAGAAGCTGCACTCACAGGGAAACGTGTATTAAGAATGGCATCTATGAGGGGCACCTGGGTGGCTCAGTCAGTTGAGCATCCAACTTCAGCTCAGGTCATGATCTTACGGTTCTTGGGTTCGAGCCTCACGTCGGGCTCTGTGCTGATAGCTCAGAGCCTGAAGCCTGCTTCGGATTCTGTGACTCCCTCTCTCTCTCCCCTCCCTTGCCCATACTTTGCCTCTCCAAGACAAACATTAAAAAATTTTTTAAAAAAGAATATTTAAAAGAATGGTTTCTATGGCCTAAGTCTAATTGGCCTAATATGACATGAAGATACCTCATAAACTCCATTATACTAGCATGAAGAGTGATGAATGTTTCTGAATTCCTACAGTCCTTTGGTACTGGATAGTAGTCAAGAGACAACTGATGCTTAAGATTAATCATTCATTCTGGTAGAAATTTTAATCACAGTAGCACATGGATTTCTGATAAGGAACTATGTACATAATAAAGTAACTGTTGACTTAGGACACAACAAAGACAATCTGATAGACTATAAATGTAGGAGTCTATTTCTCAAAGGCTGATAAGAGTAAACAACCTTTTGGCTAATGAATTTGTAGTGCTAAGATCCTTTGTTGGAGACATGTATGTGAAGCAGTAGAAAATTAGGTTGGGTAAGTCAAAATAGCCCCATTAATTCCTTTTTAAAAGCAGTGAGTCAAAGGTAGAAAAGAGATATGCTACCAACTTATAAGCTAAGTTTCACAAATCCCTTAAACTATCTTCCTAAAAAAGATATCTGGACACAAAGCATAAATGATTCAGAGGACAGAGAAGCATCTAGCTCAGATGATAGAAAAGAGAAAGAATATAGTATACCTGCTATATTATATCTCTTCCTGAATGACCAGGGCATTCCAATTTCCTCCAGTCACTCTATCACTCTAGATATATTAACAGAACTAACCTTTGAATGTTAGGTATTTCCACCCCTGAGCTACTTGATACAACAAAATAAACTGGTGAATACTGAAGGAGAACAGATTCCCTAGTTAAGTGATTCCCCAAAGTGGGGTCAAAATGAGGTCACAATTATTTTTATAGTAATACTAAGATATTACTTGCCATTTTTAGTGTATTGACATTTGCACTGATGATACGAAAGCAATGGTGGGTATAACAGCTGGCGCTTTAGCACGAATCAAGGCAGTAGCACCAAACTGCACTAGTATCATTGTATTTTTCATTCCCACACACAATTTTGTTTTAAAAAGGTCTGTTTCACTAAACAACCACAATGAAAATAAGTAAATAAAAATAAGCATAAATAAAAAATAAAATACAAATTATTAATTTTATTAAATTTGACCTGTAAGTGTCTGTCTTTTTAATTTTCTGCGTGACAAAATGAGAATATATATGAAGCAGTTTTTCTACGTATCAAAGTACAATGGTTGTCTGGGGAAAAACATAGTTAAGAACTGATCTAGTCACTTTTTTCCCCCTAAGGAACACCATTTTAACTGAAAAAGCAAATGGTAAATTACGACTTTTTAGACTTGTGTACATTGCAGACACTTAATAAAAAAATGAACAAAGTAAGCTTGTAGCTGTAAGGGAAACAAATAACAGTATTTGTTGCCAACAAGAAGATTTAAGCTTTCAAGCAAAAGTAAGTATTTTAGAAAATTTATTATCTACCACTGTGACCTTGACAACTTCTTGATAACAGATTTATCTGATAAATGGTTGGTGATTAACAAAAGTGATTTCTGGTAATGTATAAAATGTTGACATTTGGATTATCTGCATAATTAAAATACATGATATTACAAAATCATGTATGGATAAAAGATACAATCAGAGCACAAGATGAATCAATGAATTTTAATGTAACCGAGTATGAAAATGTCATTACTATGGTTTCAATACTACACCTTTAAGAAACTGTCACTTGGTCCAGTCTGGTGTAGTAGCAAAGAGGAATATCCACTATTAAGATAGATTTAATATCCATGAAGACAATTCTGCCTTTTCCAACTACATGTCTTTGACAAGACAGATTTTCTTCATATGCTTCAACCAAAACAACACGTCACAATAGAATGAAAAAAGATAAGAAAATCCAGTTATCTTCTATTAAGCTAGACATTAAGGAGATTTGCAAAAAATATCTTTGTTTTCCTCTTGGAAAAATAATGAGTTTTATGTTAACATGAGTGGGTTCAGTATGATCTGACTTAATTTTTAGTACAATAAATGATAGAAAAAATCCACATAAACAAAAGGTCAATATTTTCCTAGAAGCATAAAGAGATCCAAAGACTAAAAAGTGTAAGAATTACTACTCCAGTATGTCTCCTAGATGTATAATTTCCATGTTTAAATAAAGAAAACACAAAGAAATGAGAGAGAAGCATTGCACATAAATTACATATCTTACTCCACAAGTATCATACCTTTAACTTTTGCCCTTGGAGAAGCTGTAGAATGTCTGAACTTGCTCATAATGAAAAGTGCCAATATTACAAAATCTAACAGTGTGGAATTAATATTTTAAATCATCTGAAGATGAATTTGCCTTTACAAACACAGTAAGGTAAGTTTTACCAGTTGGTCATTACCCCCAAGGAGTGAAGTACACGGAAGTAGGCCTTTCTCTACCACCTTTAGGTAGTAATATTCAATCTTTCCAGTAGCTGGTGACACTGTTACTTATCTTCCCCTTTTATCCTCCACCCAAGTCAAAGAGATTAAGGTCAAAATATGGAGAATGGTATGGTAACAGTATGAAAAATGTGACACTAAACAGCCTTGGAGAGAAAAGAAATAAGAACTAAGAAAACAGAGAAGTAGTAAAAAGCACTGGGATTAAAAGCGAGGATTTTGGGGTCTAAAAGAATGAGTTAACATCCCAACTCTGTGCTTATAAAGTATAATCTCAGGCATTTTACATAAATATCCTGAGCCTTATTTTTTCAGCTGTAGTAAAGTCTAAGTGAATATATGTAAAGCACTTTGTA